GTTGGAGATGGCTGTGATATGAACGTCCACCGTCGCCAAAACGAAGACGAAGAGGCAGAGGCGCAGAGGACGGGATGAGGCAGAGGCGCAGAGGACGGGATGAGGCAGAGGCAAAGACTACGACCGCAGGTATATTGTTGTTTCAGTGTAGCATATTGATGCAGGTAGTGTATTGGGTATTGTATTGGGTCTGGTGAGGAGTTGATGTCTGGCTGTTCGGTGTTCGGTGATTGAGTGGTTTCGCTGGGCAGTCGGTGTCGGGGATTGAGACGACTTCGCTGGTTTGGGTTTGGGCAGTCGATGATTGTTTGAGTGGTGGCTGTTTGGTGTGGTTGCTGGGTGGACGGAGTGGGATGCTTGCTGGCTGTCGGTGCTACTGGACAGTGTGGTGGTTGATGGCTGGTTACTGTTGCAATGTGAAGGAGGAGCAGCGGCTGGGTCTGTTTGGTTATGACGATTGGCGGAGGTTAGGGTTAGGGTTAGTGGCTCTGATACCAACTTGAGATAGTTGTGAATGAAAAGGGATACTCAAATTAAGAGTAGAACCCCGTATATATATCCAAAAATAATACAGAGTGACTTAAACATTCTTGTAGTTTAGGCAAAATATAAAAATCATAGTAAGGGTAAAAAAGGGAAAAGAAATCCTAATAAACCTAGACTATCTATACTCCAACAACTACAAACATGGGCTTATTAGTAAAGCCACTGGACTCTACAGAGAAATGGAGAACAGCGGACCCAAACCAAATGCCATAACTTTCAGACATCTTTCTTTGGGTTGCTTGAAAGCGGGTTTGATGAAGGAAGCTCTGAAAACCCTGAACTTGGGGATGGATCTGACGACAACCACCAGTGTCAGGAAATCAACCCCATGGCTAGAGACTACATTTTCAATATTTGAAATTTTTACAGAGAGGGGTGATGTAGAAAATGGTGAGAAGTTTTTTGAAGAGTTGAAGAAAGCAAATTACACTTGGCACACTTTTGTTTATAATACCTTGATTAAAGCTTATGTTTTTAAGGCCAGGATTTATGACCCAAATCTTTTGAGAAGGATGATTCTGGGAGGGTCTAGGCCTGATTCTGAGACCTATAGCCTATTGAGACTTGTTGATCAGTTTCAAGTTGGGTTTTAAGCTTGACACAATTTTCTCTGAAATTCTCAAAATTCGTCTCTGCATACACTTTTGTAATCGTAACAAAAAATAACTCATGAAGGTATTGAATGTGAGTGATTATCTATTTGAATCTTTGTAGACAAATTACTAAATTTGTAAGGGCCCAATTCTCTTACATGTGATTATGATATATAAGATTTATGATTATGTGCTCCATTCGACGCTCATGGACCCAAGTTCCAATCAAAATATACAACTCTCATCCTAACTCTGCAATCTTACTATGTTATAATGCTTGAATTTTGAACTTGAGTTAAAATTCACATTCAATTTTTATTAATTTTTTTGGGTCCAGTGCATTAAATTGAGTTTAATTAAGGTTTGACTCTCAAGTAATACAACTAAATTCATTAATCAATGTCCGGTTGGATTTGAGTTCCAAGTTGAATTTTGATTTCATTATAATAATAATAATAAAAAAAATTACTTGGTATTATTATCTAATAAGAATGTAATAATAAATAAGTGAATCTCACATATTATGGTAATCATCTATCATATCATTTGATAAGCCCCTAATATAGGGTTAATTACATTGGAGGCCCCTGAACTATGAGGTTTATTTCATTTTGGTGTTCAATTATATTATTTTAGTCCCTGAAATATTGAATATATTTTTATGTGATCACTTAAGAAGGCAACGTTCAAATTGCTAATAATTTTTTGTTATAAAATTTGCCTAATTTTTTTTTAAAAAACATCAATTTCTCTACACGACCTTTAATATTAAACAATTTCATTAATTAACACATATATCTCTCTTAATTTTAATTTTAAATAACATAATTAAAAAAATTAAATTATTATTTAAAATATAAACATTATAAAGATGGATTCAATTTTTAATATTATATATTATTTTTAGACACGAGATTTTTACCAGATGTATCAAAGTCATGTGCATAGTTTTTCCGGTTCATAGGAAAGCACTATCAAATTTCCAGTTCATGGGTTGCTAAAAGTCTTGCTTCTTTGTTACGGCAATCTATTTATAGCGGGCCGGGGGTGGAAAGTAAAATGGTCATAAAAATTCTTCTCAACTCGTGTTGATTTTGCATTCAAACGGAACAAGAGACAATTTACGATTCTACCGTCAAATTGACCACTGTAAAAATGGGAAAAGTAACATTAAAATTTTTGTTATGACATAATGAATATGTCATTTGACCATTATAACTTCGTTAAAACAAAAAGACAGTCCAAATGATATAATAGCAATTTACCAACAATTTAAGCTATAAAAAAATTAAAATTCATATCGGGTTTTTTTATTTATCATATCGTTCTCTATAAAAGGACAGGACATTTTTGCTTATTTTTTTCAATTAGCATGACAATATTCATAATCAAAATGGGTAGATGACTCTAATGCTCTGTTTGACAGTAAGGATAGAAAGTAGGAGGGATACACGTTCTATTCTTCAAGGATGGAAAGTAAGAATGATACACTTTTCTTCATTTGTGTTTGGTTGGATACACGGAAAATAAAAATGATTAATTTTTTTTTAATTTTTTTTTTGTGATGGCTAAAATTAAGGTTGACAATCGAGTCGTGTCGTGTCAGATTCGTGTTGACTCATAAAATTATGAACCTTTTATATTTCTTGTTCGCGTGTCAGATCATTTTCAAGTTCTTGTTGAGTTATAATCAAGTTCGTGTCATAAAATTTATGTCGAGTTCGAGTCGTGTTATCGTGTTGAGTCAAAAATTTTCACCCCAAGTTAAGATGAAAAAAAAATATATTTTTAATTTAATTTTTTTAATTATATATATATATATACATATTTTATCATTATATTTTTATATGAAATTAATGTATACATAATATATATAGACAAATAAGATACATCTCAATACAAATAATTAACTTTCTATCTACTTTTCTTCCGATTTTGGAGGGATTGATTTTGGTGAGTTGGAAAGAAAGTTAATCCATCAACTTTTTCATCCTTCCTACTGTTGTTTTTAGTGTGCCAAATATTATAAAATCACTTATTAAACTTTTTGATTTTAACCACGTAAAATATAACAAAACAGTTACAGTAAAAAGTTATACAGAAACAAAAGAGTTATAGCAGGGTAACGAAACAGTAACACACAACTATTTGTCAAACCAAAATAAATATTAACCCGATTGCAGAACATGAACTGTTATTGAACTTTAGGTAGATCAAGACTAGTGTTTGACATTTTGTCTTTAAAACAGATTTCGCCCCCATACACGGTGCTTATGGAAATCGAGCGTCTACCTCCTAAGATACAATGATCTTTACACGAATAGAAGTAGCACTCTAATCTGCTCGTCCGACGAATCAAAGTCGTGTTGTGTACTCTCTAAATGCACTGCTTTAATTTTGAAAATGATATGGTTTAATGCCTACCTTATTGTTGAAAATAGACTGAATGAATGTATGAAATTAATGAAAATGAGCCTGAGTATTTATAGACACATTGGTGACTTTTTAGACAGTCACCTTACTAAAGGACACAACCCAAAATGACAAGACACAACAGTCAGTAGACACCTTGAGTAACTGTTCTTCATGAACAGTCACAACGCATAATTTTGGACTGGTGAGAAGCAGAAATCCAAACTAGCGCGATCCAATGGGTATCGAAAATTTATTTCAGGTTAAGAAATTCTCGCCCAATAAATTAAATAATTTTTTTTCAAAAAGATAGGGTTTGATCTAACCCACACCCGTACCCGAGACCCGCCGGGTCGGGTCGGGTCGTGGCGAGGCGAGACAGGCAAGTATAAATGAGACAGATAGGCTAGTATCAACTAATTTTTGTTGTGATAGTTAATACTAGTTATAACTCGTGCCTGAAGGCACGATAAAATATAAAATTCGAGCGTCTATGGTCCCACTATATTAATTTTTTTTAACATGTGTATACTATTGTATATAAATAATGTTTGAAATAAAAAATATATTAATTACAAATTAACCAAATATTAAATAATTAAACATATGATAGAAATGAGTGATGTGACATTTTTAGGGCAGAAATATATAAATGATTAAACATATGATAGAAATGAGTGATGCGACTTGACGTTTGAGTATGACAGAGGAATGATGGATGAGGTAAGTGATTGGTGATAGTTTTGAGGGAAAAAATATGACTAGAATAAAATTAAAAGTATGAACTATTTTATTATATAGATATAATAGTTTGTTTCACTAGCTAGCAAATAATGCATTGCTGACACACGTGTGTTGTGTGTTGTGTGTGTGTGAGGGAGAGAGATAAGGAAGGGGAGTTAGCCTCAAGAGATAGGGGTTAGGACAAAATTCAGTTTACTCCCTTGTGGTTTGGATATTTTGCACATCACCTCTTTGTGGTTCAAAAATCAACACATAATCCCCTTATATTTTTGGACTAAAGTACGACCGTTACTATTTCTGTTAAAAGTAACATAAAGTATAACACACGCGCTAGATTTGCAAGTGTGGATGTAAAAAATTTAAGTCAAAGTCAAAAATCAATCTAAAAACCCAAATATACGCTTGTGATCTTTAAAAAAGACCTTTTTTTTTTATCTTCTTCTACAATTTACTGTTAGAAATTTTTTTTCTTATTTCTCATTTCTCATTTCCTTTCCCCTTTTCCCGTTTTTGTGCCTCTCCTGCTCTTGCCTCCTTTCTCTCTCTCCTCTCTTCCTCTCTCTCTTGTAATTGTTCTTGTGATTTTTGGTGGGGATGGTGGAATTTTTTAGTGGGTTTGGGGGTGAGTTTCAGGGGCTGTTGGGAGTGGGTTTTCGGTGGGGCTTGGGGGTGTTGGGTTGTTGTTAGTGGGGGAGGGTTTTCAGTATGGGTGGTTGGTGGTGGGTGGTGGATTGCAAGGAGAGCCTAGGAAAAGGTGGTTTGAACAGAGAGGAGAGGGTAGTGACATTGCTGAGTTAGAGAGAGAGGCAACAAAGTGTATAGTAAAAGAAAATCAAAACCCTAATTTAAGCTTAAAATTTGAATTTTGGGGTATTTAAAATTTCGAATTTCAGAAATGAAGGGGGGCTAATCTACCATTTTTAGGATCAAGGAATCTATTTTTGAAGTTAGAATCTAGAAATAATGAGGTTTGGTGGGTGAAAAATTGAATTAAAAATCGTGACAATTTTTGAAAATAATGAACCCGTCATTTTGGAGCTTGATTTCCACTTACCTTGTGCATGATTTGGACAAACTAAATACATGGTTGGAAAGAAGTTAAATTTAGGCATTTGAATCACCAAAAAGGTTGAAAAACAAGAGAGAAATTAAGGACCAAAGTTGGCCCAAATGTTAAAAAAAATTTAGTATGTACATAACTTGTCAAAATGAGTTTGTGATCACTTTTGAGCTTAAATTTGTGGGTCATGGGGGCTATTTAAGGAAATAAGTCCGTGGGATTTTAAAACTAGGTTGAGAGTGGAGCATATTGACATTGATTTGAAAAAATTTGGTATTTTATGGAGAGAGAGAGAGAGAAAGGATTGTAAAGTTAGGTGATTGATTGATTTTTCCAAAAATTAAACTACAGTTGAGAGGGAGGAAGAAGATGAAGAATAGTTGAGGGTACTAAAATCATTTTACTATTTTTGTTTACAGTGTTAATTGTGCATATTGGTCCAAAAATATAAAGGGGTAATGTGTTGATTTCCAAATCATAAAAAGATGATGCGTAAAATATCCAAATCACACGAAGTTAAACTGGATTTTGCCCTAGGGGTTAATACAGTGGGAGTGGGTGTGTGTGCGCGTTAGGTATGCGTGCGTTGGGGGCTGTGAGGCAGGCAGGACCGAGTGGGATGGTGTGATGAGTGGAAAAATATGAGATATAAAATTCAAGTTTTTTTTTATTATATATATTTATACACACACGATTATTATATTAAAACTTATTTATTTTAATACTGTGTTTTTTTTTATAAAAAAATAAATATATGACACATCTACTTTTTATTATTTTATAATGTTATCAATCAATAAATATAGTTTTATTGTGGAATAGATCATGCCGGCTATCCTTGACTTGACTCACAAGTCAAGCCAAGACTAAAAAATCTGTAAAAATTTCCAACAAAATTAACTATACAATTAAACTCTTACACCCACCTCTCTCTATGTTCCCACTATAAATACCCCACCCATTCCCTCACAAACACTACACAAGAACAAAACCTCATACTCATAGCCCATCTCTCTAACTCTACCTCTCTCTCCAGAGTCCTAAACATGAGTTTCTTCAAGTCTCTCTCCATTTCCATTTTCCTTCTCATCTCTCTCATTTTCACCTCCACCCATGCAGCCACTTTTGATGTCCGAAACAACTGTCCCTACACAGTTTGGGCAGCAGCCGTGCCTGGTGGCGGCCAGAGGCTTGACAATNTTTTCACCTCCACCCATGCAGCCACTTTTGATGTCCGAAACAACTGTCCCTACACAGTTTGGGCAGCAGCCGTGCCCGGTGGCGGCCAGAGGCTTGACAAAGGCCAAACATGGCAAATCAACGTCCCTGCCGGCACGAAACAAGCCCGTATCTGGCCTCGAACCAACTGCAACTTCGACGGGGCCGGTCGGGGCAGCTGTCAAACCGGTGACTGCAATGGCCTCCTACAATGCCAAGGTTTTGGTGTACCACCAAACACATTGGCTGAGTATGCCTTGAATCAATTCAATAACCTAGACTTCTTCGACATATCGCTAGTTGACGGGTTCAACGTTCCACTCGAATTTAGCCCTACCTCCGGTGGGTGCCAAGGCATCCGGTGCACCGCCGATATCAACGGGCAGTGTCCGAATGAGTTAAAGGCTCCCGGCGGGTGTAATAACCCTTGTACTGTGTTCAAGACCGATCAGTATTGTTGCAACTCCGGCAACTGTGGACCCACCGACTATTCGAGGTTCTTTAAGGATAGATGCCCAGATGCTTACAGTTACCCCAAGGATGATCAAACAAGCACTTTTACTTGCCTTGGAGGAGGCGACTATAGGGTTGTGTTCTGCCCTTAGTAGTATGGAAGGTCGTCTAAATATAGAATAATGGCTTTGAGGTCTATTTACATGATTAAAAGCTATGGTGAAATAAGTTTGAGCACATGTAGCTATGTGCTCTTGTTATGTACCCTTCATAAAGATGACTGACTCTCTATATATGGAAAGTAGTAATGAAAGTTACTACAATTATCTATTTTTCCTCCTCTATTTTCTTTCTTCTTATTATCTTTTGTTTATATATGTGTGGTAAAATAAAGAATTAAAAATATGTAACTTTTTGAAAACATAAAAGTAGTATCTTTTTTTTTTATATAAAAGTAGTACCAACAGGAAATAAATTAAGAAAAAATCAACTTAGATTAGTTTGGACATATTTGTAAAAGAACTAGGTATATGCCGGTATAAAAAAGTCATTTGATATATATCGATGGTAATGCAGAAAATAGAGTAGGTCTAAAATAATTTTCAATTAAAATTGTACCTCCATAGAGCACAATAGAAAGGTAGAATTCATGTAGTAGACCCCAAATTGTTATAATTAGTAAATTTACTGTTGAAAGTTTAAAACTTATCGTTGCCTATAGATTGATAATGAGTACCGATATCAAATTGGATTAGTTGATAATCTAATGACTAAACTATACTTGTTAAATTTGGACTAAATAGATTTTTTTAAGTATATGGATTTGTTCAAAGACGGCAACTTTAATCCTAATTAAAAGATGTTTCAATAGTTAAACTTGAGTTGTCCATGGTTTCATGACGCTTGTTTTTAGATTAAGAATTAAGAGGGCATGGTCAAGGGGATATATTCATATTATTTTTTTGGTTCAACGGTCAAGGATGTCTGAATTTTCTTATTCGTACTTTGACTAATTCTCACCTTAGTCTAATCATAGGCAAATCATTCACATTGAAACTAAAATATTCATGAGAAATAATTTTTTATGGCTTGATCCTAATGGATTACCAATATTCAAAGTCAAGTCATTTTATATATGTATACTAGGGGTAACTCGTACTTAAAAGGACGGTGCAATATGAATAATTTTAAAAAAGATGTGGTGACAGTCGAATAAATTTATTGAAATCTATCATATTTTATATTATAATTATAAATAGTCTTAGGAAAAGTAGACTACAATGGTTTTTTTTTTTGTTGAGATACATGGTTAAATTACTTATTGCAAGAAAGAATCAAATATTAAAACATTAGAATGGTGCATTTATCCTTCCGTAACAAAAAAAAATAGAATGGTGCATTTATAGTAGAGGAGGTAGTACACACAAGTCGAAGAGAAGTTCATGAGAAGAAGGGAGATAAGAAATTAATAATAGCCTTTGAAAATAATAATTGACCTCTTAAAATACCACTAATGACACTAATTCAGAGATTTAATCATTTCTTTTGTGTTGATTTAGTGCTATAATGATAATTATTTATGGTAAAGTTTATCGCAACTTCTTCTAATCTCAAAAATGATAATTAAAACATTATTTGTATATGTCCTATTTGATGATCCATTCCATTATTATTGTTCATTAAATAATCATTCAATTACTATTATACACATTTACATATACCTATTTATAATCTTAATCGGATAAACACGGAATTAGTTATTAGTATATCAAAGAAATGGTGAAACATAGTTTTTCAAATTTAGATAATCAATTAATAATATTAATTAATTAAATTTAAATTTTGATTGAAGTCGTATTAAAATCCTTTCCATCTTGACCAAGAGTGGAGCCTCTGAGAAGTCTGTTGGTTTTTTTTTTTTTATGGAGTCTAGTTTGTATATGTGATCCGGATGATGATTCGATCCGAAGTAATGTTGTGTGGTTTTTAATGGAAAATTTTTTTGGGCCCGTTATACAGCCCAGTGCGTAAGACATATAAACCCTGTTGTTTTGGTGATTAGGGTTAATCGTGGATTGTACAGCCGCTCTCTGTATTCAACTCTCTCAATAGTAAAATCATTGCAGCTTCGTGGACGTAGGCAAATTGCCGAACTACGTAAAATCTGTGTCTTGTTCTTTCTTGTTTCTTATTGCTTTATATTCTTGATTTGTTCTTCGATTATGTGTGTTTGTTAGTGGATTTAAATCGTGTGAAATCCCAACAACTGGTATCAGAGCTCTAGGTTAAGAGGTCAAGGATTTACACAATGTCAGAAGATAAAGTTAAGATCGAAAAATTCAATGGCACGAACTACGCGTTTTGGAAGATGCAGATGGAGGATATTCTGTATCAGCAGGATCTTTATCAACCTATCGACGGGAAGAAGCCAGCGGATATGGAGCAAGCAAAGTGGGATGTTCTGGATCGCAAAGCCCTAGGGACTGTGCGACTGTGCCTAGCGCCGTCAGTTGCATCGAACATCGCCAAAGAAAAGACTACATCAGATTTGTTCAAAATCCTAGAAAAGATGTACGAAAAACCTTCAGCGGTGAATAAGGTATATCTTATGAAAAAGTTATTTAATCTAAAGATGTCTGAAAATACTATTGTTGCTGAACATATCAACGAATTTAATACGGTTACGAATCAGTTAGAATCCGTGAGTATTATTTTTGATGATGAAATTAGAGCTCTTGTCCTTTTATCAAGTCTGCCGGAAAGTTGGAATGGACTTGTCGTGGCAGTAAGCAATTCTTCTGAGTCTGCAAAGATAAAATTGGAGGATGTTGTGACATTGATACTAGGACAAGAGGCTCGGAGAAGAGCATCGGGTGAGGATGTTGTTTCAGGTTCAGCACTCAATACGGAGGAGAGAGGTAGGGCTATGAATAAGGGAGGCAATAAAAAGGGCAAGGGAAAATCGTATTCGAGAAACAGAGGCCGAAGTAAATCTCGTGGTGGAGATGAGGGCTGTTGGAACTGCGGTCAGAAGGGGCACTGGAAGCGGGACTGCAAGGCACCTAGAAAGGAGCAGAATGGGAATAATCAAAGAGGTAAAAATACT